AACTGAGATCGTTGAGTATTATGAGTATTTCAACAAAAAGAATTTACTAAATGCCAAGTTAAAGTCAAGAGAAAAAATATGGAACACTATTTCTCATATATAACAAGAAAGGAAATGAGCACAAAATAACAATCTTACATTTAAAAATCAAACCAAAATAAGTTTGAAATTACATAAGATATACATATAACCAGAAGCATCACATCTAATAGTAGCTAGTACTCATCAGCAGACTGTCAGGCATCAGATGAATTGTCATTTCCACCCTGAAAATAGTATAAAGAGTATGAGATAATTATAATCAAGCAATTTACATTTAACTTAAAAAAATTATACCATTTCTGATCCTCCATGGGGTGGATGATTCATCTGAATTTATTGCACAAACTGTCTCATCTCATCACGAAATGCGCCAAATTATCTCGCCTGATTATCACGAAATGATCTGAACTCCTCTTTAAGACTAGCTATCTGTCCAAAACTGTTGCCGCTACCACCACCTTCTTCATGTTTGCTTTGAGGAAAGTATCTAGTCAGGGTGACACCAAATCCCTGGGTACGAACTCGACCTAAATGTTCTGGTCCCATAATTATAGCAAAAACTCTCTCATTAGCTTCAATATTTCCTTCTTCAGGTGTAAGCCCTTCTTCGGCAAGAAGATTGCATGCCTGCGTCTACAGTATAAATACATATAGTTAAATATATTGAAGAATGATTTATAAAAAAAAATTGTAATAACTATATCTATGTACCCATCGCTTCATATCGTCCTCAGATGACCATGTCCCATATTTGTGCATCCTATTGATTTTCCATAATTGTAATCTGTCCTTAATAGACTACAAAAAATTATAATAACAATGTCAGTTTGAAAATAAATCATTTAGTAGTTATAAATAAATATTTAATTTTATACCGTTTCCTTTTGTCTTCGAACTGAACACACACGACCCATTGTGTGAGGACAAGTTTGTTTCTTGGCATTGGCAGAATTTTTCGCAACCCTTTCCTATGATATATGATAATGTTACATTCCAAATTTTAAAATAGTAATAAATATGTAAAAAAAAAAAATTAATCACAATATTTACCTGATCCTCTGGCTTTGACCATTTGTTAACAAGTTGACACCATTGCATTTGAACTACTCCAGCTGGAACTGTCTCCAAAATTTCCTGAATTGGTCTACTGTCCCAATGCTCAACCTTTAAGGTTGTTTTATAATTATGCCATTTAACACCAAGGGATTGAAGAATCCAATGGCGTATATTACCAGGAAACTCAAATTTAGACTGCAGTTAAAAATATGATATGGTTAATAATATAAAACATAAAAATTTTAAACTTGATATGAAATATATATATATATATACCTCAACTTCAGCTAACATCTTTTTTCTTGAATGGCTCCATACCCTTATTTCTCCAAT